AATAGTGACCTCAAACCATCTAATTTGCTTAGGTTGCTACACATTACAGACATTTTTCTCTTTATTCTTTTCTGTTGAACGATGACGTAAAAATGAAGTATTTTAATGCGTTATTAGTAACCAAGGCAAATACCTGAAAAGTGAACCAGAAAGGGTGGAAATAGGACAATTGCGCAGCAGGTTTTGCCAGGGAGCTTGTTCAGTGCTTCTAAAAGGTAAGGTCACTCGAGAACAAGCACGTCTCGTGCGAATCAACGTATTGCCGCGTATAGATAGGGAGACCATGCGCGCGTATCCGATGTTCCCGAATAACCTCGGACGCACGCCGTTTTAGGGGCGTGCGTTTTGGATTGCTGAAATGGCTCGTTGGTTTTTCACGTCACTGGCCTTGCGCTCTAGATCACATCAAAATGCACTTGCCATTTACATTTCTGAAAAGTAAACGAGTAAAGAAGGTTGACCAAAAAATCCAAAAGAAAACAAAACAATATAGCAAGAACTGTAAGCGACAAGCTTACCGAGAACAACAAAAAGTTATCGATTTGAATTCGCTTCACAAGAACTGAAATTTTACACAACTTCTTTTTGAAGAGCTTTTCCGTGTATCCGGTTGCTCTCAAAGAAAGAGGGCGCTCTTCGTTTTCTCGAACGCACAGGAATATGATCTTGTGCTTACAGATACCGCATCATGCCTTGAGTGAAAGAGGGCGGTCAGCGTTCCATTGAGTTTTGACACCAAAACTGTTCAAACAAGGTCTCTTCGATTACATGTACGTTATATAAAGCACTGTATGTATGCACATACGGTTTGTCGTCCGGATTAGCACAAGTATTTTTCTTTTTTGACAAGCACAGAATGTAAACTACTTTATACGCGGGCAAGAAGTAATTATAAAAACCTCAACTAGTTCATAAGTTAGTCTTCCGAGACTTAGAGATAGCACACATTGGATTATGGATAAATCTACATTCGTTAGTTGTTAGATATTCCGATTAGAATGCGTCGATTAGTACGTTTTTACATCAGTAATTTGCTTTTGAATGAACGTAGCCTTATCCGTTAAAAAAGTACCTGTGAAATACTTGTCATGTATGCGATTGGAATTTTTCAGCTGGCAAAAATGAAAAAAGCTCCAATTTGATGATTGTTTTTCTTCAAATCGGTCTATTCTGTTACTTTGTCAAAATGTTTCCTGTTCGGTTACATTGTGAGGTTGATGCATAGCACGTTAAGTTTCGTTTATTCTTAGTTTATTTTCACATGTTTTGCACTTGATGTTCTAACATTTGCATTTTCTTCGACAAGTTTCTTAAAAGCTACTCATTATTTCTTATATAAACTGGAATCGACCAGAAAAACGCCAGCGTGCATAGAAGCCAGCGGTTTGTGACATGTCCTGATAACAAGTGTTTTGGCACACAGCCATTTGAGAAAGTGCTAAGATTTGAAGCTTTGCACGGTGGAAGTAACATAAGATACAGGCTTGTGGGTACACCATGGAATCAATCTCTTTTTGGAAAAGGTGTGGCTCTTAGAAGAACCGGTGAGTGTTATCTCGACGTTTCTCCTGAAGGACACACTCTCCTGAGGACGGCCAAAGCATCCTGGCCGACACGTCGAGTTAACACCCACCGGTTCTTCTAAGAACCACACCTCTTCCAAAAAGAGATTTACCGTATTCCACGGTGTACCCACAAACCTATATTTCATGCTACAAGCTTAGTTCACCACAAGAGATTTGGTGGAAGGATGAGCTTGATCGTCATCTCCTCGTGCTGACCTCATGTGTATTTATCCGCTACGAAGTGTGGCATATCCAAATAAATCTGTAAGCCAAATTCATATAGCTTGAAATTAGTTGCCTGTAAAACGCACAAGTTTGCTATTAGTATGACTGACTTTCAAACCAGGCAGATGTTCCTTTAGTTAGTGCGCACCTGTCAGCGTTGTATCACAGAATGTGCTTTGACAAGTGGCTTTTTAGTCAACAATTTTTGAAGCAAAAACCTGTGAAGCAGATTTTCCCTTTCTGTATCACTTATGCCAGCCAACGCGTTTGTGTACATCTACTGTCAAATCAAAATTTCCATGATATTGACAGTGTGGATTTTCCGTGGTTGAAAACAAGTGGTGCGCGAAGCAGTGTGCGCGCGTCTTGCCTTGTGATGCCTGCGTTTTCGAAACGAGTGGATTCGGTGTGGACTTTGGTTTCGCTGTTTCCGGCCATTTCGAAGCAGCTTTCGAAACCACATGGTCAAGCTCGGACTGGAACCAGGACACCGAAATCTAAGCTGATTCCACTCGTTTCGGAAAGACTCGATATATCGGCACCCCTTCTTACCGTAGCATCCGGGATCATTGCGTCAATGGTCTCTCTCAGGCTGCTAAAAGCCGGCCGTTCGCTGGGGGTTTCCCGCCATGCCTCTTCCATTACCTCGTAACTTATGGAAAAAACAAGGAGTAGTTTGTTGATGTGCTCCTGCAAGATGTGGACGAGATCGGTTCTCTCTGGCTCGAAGCAAATTTACCCGATTTTCCCCTGAGAGACCCAGCTCTAAAATGGCTTGTTCATGTGTCAGCATAATCTTGGTTTGAATTTCAAGGGGAACAATGTGCTATATATATATACATGTATGTGTTACTGACTCTATTCTCTTTAGTTGAAAAATCAGTCAACGGAAAGTGAGTAACCAGTAAGATTAAACAAAATAAAATCCTTATGACTACAAACTTGCAAGCAAAACGTGCATGCAGCAGCTGCTGCAGTGAAAGACTTTGGCCGACCTTTGGAAAAAAACGTGTCTCTGAGTGTCCAAATGTTCTCGCTCAGATTTTATAGAAGTTGAGTCTATTCCGTCAGCTGTGCTCGGCTCGTCCACTTTTCACATTTTGGAACATCTTACATTCTTTACAGGAGACTTACAGTTGGTCGCTGCAGTGGCTGGGAGTTGGTAACCTAAAGCCACGCTTTAT